ATCTGAGCCCTCTACCCCATTTCTATTTCAGTACACATGCAGTATGCACTATGATTCGAAGGAGACCATAAAATATAGATGTGAAGGGGGCGATACAATTGAGTTGTGCCATCTCAGTGGTCGTTTTTCGCGAAGCTACTTTGTTTCATCGCCCAAATTATAGGTATCAGGTAATTTTGATCCTGCAACCTTCATGATATGATCGCTCGCTTTGAAAATCTTAAACAATAATCTCAGAATGTGTGTTTTCTGTCTGTCTGTGTGCGTTTAATAAATTCCGAGCGGCTTAATCAAGAAAACGGAAACAGTTACGGGACTGGGTTTTTCGGTATAGTGCCGAAAAAACTATGAGGAAGCCAAATGGTAAAGGGTTTTTAAATCGGTCGGTGGTAGGTGGTTTAATTGACGGTTTTGTATCACAAATGTTACATAAAATAGCTTGAGCAGCTTAATCAAGAAAACGGTAAGAGTTACGGGGCTCGCTCTCTCTCCCATTACTGCATATTATGTAGCGTATATATATATATATCATATATATATATATATCATAATTACACTGTCATGAATACTTTAAACTAATTAGGGGAGGAATCGCTCATAGCTGTTTGGACTGTAGAGAGAGTTCATACGTTTATACGACAATGTTATGCATGTTTTCAAATATGCGGGTGTGGTGCGGAGTTAATAAGGGCTAATTTCTACTGATTGTTGTTTAAGATACTATTTTAAAAGGATACTATTGGATACGTGAGGGCACTTCGAATAGAATTGCTCGCCTAATCCGGGTTTTGACTCAGCGGGTATTAACTCCTACCCTTTTTAACTGCGGCAGTGAAATCCCGGCCGAAGGCCGGGTTACACTCGATCGTATCTACCTTACTCGGGAATATTATAGCGGGTTAATTTATGACTGGGAAAATTAATGACCGGGAAAAATATGGCGGAATGTTCCAAAACCCACCAAGCATCAAAATGTATTACTATTAGTTTACCTTACTCGGGAACATTATAGCGGGTTAATTTTTGACTGAGAAAATTAATGACCGGGAAAAATGTGGCGGAATTTTCCAAAACCCACCACTTTATCCCAGTCATAATATTCCCGAGTAAGGTAATAAACATACAGTCATGCCAGATTCATCAACACACGTGTTTTCTTGGATAACAAAATAAAAGCGCGCGCGTAGAAACGTCCGTGTTTTGCGCCTCTTTTCATAGTTTTATAAATATCACCGCCGCTGTTTAAGACGAAAACACGTGCTCACATTGCATTGGTGAAAGCGTGAGTAATTTTATTAACAGCTGCATGCATAACGCACGGAGTTATGAATAACTTGTCAAGTACTAACCTGTGGAGCAATACTTGTCCGCCAGTTTATTAATAACTTTAGGAAGAACCGTGTAACATCGCTGATTGTACTCCCATTCGTCGATACTGCAAATGAAAATGTGACGTGTGAGGAAAGCTAGGCGGTCAACAAAGTTGTAATTTACTTTACTGATTAGTTGGTAAAACTACACTCAAGACCAAATGTGCTATTAAAAGGTGTAGATAGGCTTTATAAAATGGTTTAACTTTAATGTTGATTATTACTGCTGGTATTAGCAATAGGGTAAGAGTCGACTGTAATTAGTTAACTTAGAAAATTATGAAATTTTTACTTTTATTCAGGCATATTTAAATGCAGAGTGCAAAGAATGACGTAAATTTATCAACAGTCATATTTTAAATACAAAGCTAGTTCGAATATCAGGTCTAAAGTAATTTAGTTTACGGCAGGTTTACAGATACTGTCGTTTGTCTATATTCTTATATTGAAAATATAGGGGACACAATAGTTAGCTTGTAATGACGTGAATCCTGATAAAAAGCGGCATAATACTTGAAGAATATGTGTACGTGATGAACTATTCCGGAAGATTTCTTAACCGTTACATACTGTAGCAGCATTGTCTAGTCTTTAGGAAATTTTAGGATATATCACATAATCCAGGAATATGAACAGATCAGCGTTCAGCGACTGTAACCATCTTAGTTCATTTACAAAGTTATTAGATGGTCACAGTCTCATGTACTGTACAAAGTTAATCAATTTCAGCATGGTATCTTACTAAAACATATCCTATTAGTAAAACAAACAACTCACCAGTTCGGTGTGACCTATGCATGTTTCTTAACCAATCAACGCTATATTGTCGTTTCTTTTGTGCTCGAACGGGTAGGTTAACATTTATCGGACGCTCATTTATAGATTTAAGTTGATAATGGTATTCTTTTTTACATTAATACAGTTTATATTGATATTTGATAATCCGGTTCTAACCTAGTGGTAACCTTATTTGTACGAACCTGTTAACCTGGTAAACTGGTAACCTTATTTGTACGAATCTGGTAACCTGTTAAACTGGTAACCTTATTTGTACGAACCTGGTAACCTGGTAAACTGGTAACCTTATTTGTACGAACCTGGTAACCTGGTAAACTGGTAACCTTATTTGTACGAACCTGGTAACCTGGTAAACTGGTAACCTTATTTGTACGAACCTGGTAACCTGGTAAACTGGTAACCTTATTTGTACGAACCTGGTAACCTGGTAAACTGGTAACCTTATTAGTACGAAAACAAAATACCACCGATCGGGTTTAAACCTTATATAAGGGGTCTTTCAAATATTACGTAGTCAGTTTTTGGACAATTTTTACCCCCCCCCCCCCCACCCTTCCGTTATCAACCTTACACATTGTGTCAAAATTACACTAGCGTAATCATTTTATCCACCTTTTATCTAATATTTTATTACCTTTCACTTCATCAGCGCGCATTCTTCAGACCCTGTGTCGCTGTTCTAAATGTATGTCAAGAGATAAGAGTTATTTAAAAATTTGTAAAAGTTCTATGTAAATTTTCTAGTAGCGTTATCATATTTATACATGTGTGCATATATTTATATTTGATTGTAATTAAAGATTTTGAGGCGTTAGTGCCGAGTAATGCCTCCGGCCAGTGCTCCTCCTTCCTCAATCAATCATCCTAAAACCCTCATCCTAACCATATGATGAACTTTAACCCTAAACCTAACACCAACATGAACAGTGAACACTAGTACGAGCCAAATAGCACATTCCAAAGGGTAGGAGATAAGGTTCGGGGGATGAATGACCTAATGACCATAGAAAACAGCGATTAGACCAGACCACTAAGCCGCATAAAAGCTGTCGACTGTTGAATTTTGATGCATGTTTTTATCTTCTGTTTATGCAAACTTTATTTTAAGTAATTATAATAATCTATAATAAATATAATAATAATGATAAATAAATAAGTTATAATTTACAAGAGATTTTTTAGCTCGTTCATTCATTCTATGACTCGTTGTTTTTGTCATCAAAATTACCTGATAGTTTTATGTGAAAAGTAAAACTGTATCCGTTCGATTTTTGTGATCACTATTAGTTTTTAACTTTTAAGACAACACGGTTTTGTTAATGAACGTTCATGCACAACCCAAATGATACCTTTCACGGACAATCTTGCACTTGCACTGAACAACAGATCCAGGACTGATATAATATATTTTGATTTTGCGAAAGTTTTTGATAGCGTTTCGCATGACCTCATTTTAAGTAAATTAAAGAATATTTTTAATGTCGATGGACTAATGCTTAAATTTATTAATTCCTATCTTGAGGGGCGACAACAACAAGTAGTGATAAGAGGCCAAACGTCTTCCTCTCTACAAGTTCGGTCTGGTGTCCCTCAAGGTTCTATACTTGGCCCTCTATTGTTTGTAATATTTATAAATGACTCCTGTGTCTCTGAAGGCACCAATATCGCCCTTTATGCAGATTACACTAAAATTTGGAGGGAGATATTTGGTTACCCTGACCATCACATAATCCAAAATGACATCAATAGATTGTATGATTGGTCAGTGAGAAACCGAATGAAGTTCCACCCACAAAAGTGCAAAGCCCTCTCTGTGTCCTTGCAAAGAAACGTGCTGGATAAATTGCCATTCAATACCTTCTTCTATAAACTTTCTTGAAGTGATATTGACTTTGGGCCCTCTCAGTCAGATTTAGGAGTCGCAATAAACTCCAGGTTTAATTTTGGGGAGTACAATGTAAAGCGCTTGTTTCCAAAGCTACCTCCAGACTTGGACTACTTAAGAGAACATATCATTTCACTACTGATAAAAGGCAGAAAAGATTCTATTTAGCGTTAATTAGGTCTATATTTGAACATTGTTCTGTCATATGGTCCCCTCAAACTGCAACTCATCTTCAACAGTTTGTTGCTATCCAAAAGAGGGCCATTAAATGGATCAATGGTGAACCGTACTCCAGTTATAATGACAATAAACTTGCTACAGAGCAAAAGAAATGAAATATTCTCCCTGTTAAACAGAAGTTTATTTATAACAATCTTATGACCTTCTATAAAATAGTGAATAGCATAATTCCAGTTTCGCTCCCTACTTATTTAGTCCTATGCCATCCAGAGGGCACTCGATACACTATACTAGGCACAATGCTCAAATAATTGATAGGTCGGATACTTCAAATTACATGAGTACTACTGTGCCCTGCTCGATGCCTTCCGAAATAGCTTCTATCATAGATCAATGCTGAAATGGAATAGTCTACCAGTATGTATCCGGCAGTCAGAGCGGATTTCTACTTTTAAGGCCAAACTGATCAAGTACCTCTGGGCTGCCGATACAGTCTGGCCAGATTAGCTCATCAGTCTTACACCCCTGTTCCATGCCCAATGAACGATGAACGAGGATGCACACGAGGATATGATTTCCATAATTTCGTCGAAATTTCATATAGGTATCCTCGCGGTGATCCTCGTGGGATCCTCGCGATGACACCAGAAACTGCCTACATTTGTGACAAAAGTGCAAATTTACCCATTTTGATACGCTGCACGCGAGGAGAAACCCCTCGCAAGGATGGAAATGTCCAATAATTTCATCGCGAGGAAATCATCCTCGTGGGAAATTGTGCACGATGATGATTTACCCTCGCGAGGATGGGTATTTGCGCGAGGATTTGGAGGCAATATTCGACGAATTTATGGAAATCGTATCCTCGTGCCCATCCTCGTTCATCGTTCATTGGGCATGGAACAGGGGTGTTATGAGTCTCAGAAATGTGTTTTTGTTGGTTACAATTCTGTCGGTCCAATTTCCTATCCGCTTGTCTTTTTTCTTCTATCAGTTGTGACAGAATTGTAATGAACAAAATCCTTATAATTATTTATGATATGTTTGATTTCTTGTTATTGTTTGTCATTCAAATTTGGTAGACGGCCCCAACGTTAATGTGGCTCTTGCCATGTGTTGGTTCAGCCGAATTAATTATTATGTAATCAAATTTATTTTTCTCTTTTAGTTAGCTGTCATCCGGCCAAACATTAAGCAACTTATATTGCAGTACCATTTATTAATTAGTATATAAAAATATGTCATTGTAATTTTGCATGGCTGAAATGTAACGCTTGATTTATATATATAATAATTAATTGAATTTTCAAATAAATAAAAAAATACCCTCTTTTAAACACAAGCATTATCTGTTTTGTGGCCACATGCGTGTTTTCCAATATTTCCAAACGTGATCAAATTGCTGAAGAAACGTAATCACATTGCCTTATCTCTAATTCCAATCATCAATTTCTTCCTCTGCCGAATTCAACACCTAAAATACTTTCACTCAAACATTACTAATTATACTGAAGTACAACACTAGTAGTCAGTTACTGTTAAGAGGTTACCCTTCAGTCGGACAACTTGGATAGTTGAACTCTACAACCAGTCTACTGTATTGTGCAGGCCCGTCCATAATAAAATAAAATTACTCACGCTTTCACGTGAGCACGTGTTTTCGTCTTAAACAGCGTCGGTGATATTTATAAAACTATGAAAAGAGGCCCGTCCATCACGCACACTATTGTCTTATTGAAATCATCCTATCAAAATATAATGCATACAATAAAGATGATGAATAAATTCCGAAGAATTTCGGATAAGCGTTATACTAATTATATTTATTCAGAGTAAAACCAGAAGTCACATGATTTTAATATTCGAATTTTATAAAAAGATGGAGACGTAATTCGATCATCTGCATAGTATAGGTATAAATAACTTAATTTTACTCGTGGAAAATTTGTTTGCTTTGGGAAAATCCTACAGGAAGCTTTGAAGTTGAGTGCCCAAATCGCGAAAACCGTGTGAGATACACCATTGCAAAAATTTTTGCAGGTTCGAATGCTTTTTATTATATTAAGGCCTTTTGACCAGTATGAAGGAATAAAAAATTGCCCAAGGAATAAGAACTTTAGGTTCCGAAATATAAACCCTTCAAGTGATTTAAAATCTCTAAATAAATAAATTCCTGCTAGTATTACTAATACTAATTACTAAATGAGCGAAGCTGAACATCTCTCTAGTTTCACGCTAAATTTAGACTGCTACCCTGAAACCTGATTCTATCACATCAAAAGAATAGCCCGACTGTATCCTGTGTCCTTATCTTATTATCCAATTCGATTGAGAATTTGCAGAATTTCTACCACCTGTATTTCAGTTTTTCACTTATATCCTTCAACATGTTGTGTTTCCGTGATTTAGAAAATTTGCCTCAATTTTAAAGTTTTTCTTGATGAATATTCTTTGTTCGAGATACATGGTATCTCACAAATTCAACAGCAATAATTTTAATTGAAAACTTGGCTACATAATTTAAACCATGTTAAATTTCCAACATGCATCTGATTTATCAAATATCGTTTTTACATACCGTATCACACGGTAAAACTTTTAAATATACCTCGTTATCTAGTAATGGTATTCATTAAACAGTGTTAACTGTGAGATCTCCAGATAGTTATACTGTAAGATGCTTGTTACAATATCAATCAAATACTCAACTTGCCGACCTATATATATAATATTATGTAAGATGTCTCTCTACACACGAATATACCGTAGAAAATGTTGTAGTTTACGGTAGTGAACTCGAAATAGTACTATAACATAGTGCATCATCATAACATAGTGCATCTACATAGTGTAATGTAGTGTATATCTTACAATTTAAGACATTACCATTCATCCTCCAGTCTCCATCGTTGATGGATCAAATCAACAAAATTATTAGTTTCAATACATTCAAATTATTCGACTTCCATATACTTTGTGGTTATAAGATGGGTATATAGGAGCTCTCAAAAATACCGATTCTGATGGAATCAGACAAAATTGTAAATTTAGGTGACTGGACGTTATCAATATCATTGTGTAAAGGTAACTGGAGTACCAGTATAAACGTGACGCCTAGAAAGGTGAAACTTGGTCAGATTTAACACTTTATGTAATCATGTAAATCAGAGGGGACCTGTCTTCTTAACAGTTAACTGTTAAGTAGAAATTGCTGCGATATACCTCGCAAGCTAGGGGACGCAAAACGCCCTTCAGCTGTTTTCCGTCTAGACGTAGCTACGGGTGGGAAAACTCAAGGAGGAATGTTATCGTAATATGATATACCCCCTAAAGAGTGAAGTAGACCATTGTAACTCTTTATCTTGCCACATCACGAACGAAAAGGCCCCCGACTTGCAAGAAGTTGATATACAATTACAACTTCGGAATTTAATCAATTTTTTTAATCACATTCACAAACATTTAAAATTAAGGGTAAATTGAAGGAACTTCGACATGCCATGGTCGTCCAAACCGAAGTTATTTGATCTAGGCACTCCTTAGTCCCTGACACTCTGCAGTCTGTAGGGTAACCGAATCATTTTTTTCCCCAGGATTGCCAATAATTTATCAAGAATTTTTGGAATAGTTCCTGAAGCAAACCTTGTGTGGCTGTTCGGTTTTGATATTTTGTTATAAATGAGACGAACTATATGTATTTTAAAATTTGAATAAATGATATCATATCGATAGCTATTTGATCCTTATAAATACAGTGCAGCAAATTCATAGCCGTATATGTAATTACTGTATGTAAATTGTAAATATTAACAACATATTTGTCTTCATGATGGGGTGAGTTCAATCGATGCATCCTAATCGGTTTTGCCTGGTTTACTAATTCCAAACCATCCTTAAATTTTTCGTTATTCAAGCGAAGAAATTTTGTGTCTTTCTTACTCGCAGATTTTTTATTTGCATTATTAAAAATAAATGAATCTTTATAATAAATTCGCCTTTGCTTTTCTAAAAGCTTTATAAATATGTTTATACCTTTTAAAGCTAAATAGCTTTCTGCTTTATCTATATCGGTTTATATTGCATCAATTTCCCCAATTTGCACCTCGTATAAATATAGAGTTTGACTAAGTCAAAGGAACAAGCTTTCAGTTTATTAGTTTTAAGCCGATAAGAAACCGCACGTCGATCGCAGTTCTTTAGTTCTTTAGCTTAGGGAAACATGTCAATTGTTAAAGCTATCATTGCTGAAACATCACGCATAGTTTAAAATGATTAATGTTATAAATATCATTCAATACTAACACTAGGTTAGGAATGTTGGAGGTTGCGAGTTCGCACATCTTTATCCGATCCTGGGTCTCAGAGGAATCCTGAAAATTGTAGATATTATTTAAGATATTCTTTAATACTACTATATATAATAAAGTATAAGAAACTTTTTTTCTGAAAAAAAAAACGAGCTCATAACGAACGCAATCTTTGGGATGGCGGATGCCGAATTTTACTATCGTATTCTTAAACAGCAGGCAAGACGACTCATCATAGCGTAGTATTCCGTAGTCCGTACACTTTAGAAGAGCTAACTTCAAAGAGCAAGTAACCTTCACGCCGCAATAAGTTCCTTAAATACCATATGTACCGACTACCGATAGTACCACTTCCAGCTTCAGACTTCAGGGGCAGGTCCCAGACAGCTTTAATCCGTAAACGTGTTCCCTATTTATTGATCGGATACTTGTATGTCAAGTGCGGCGGAAAGAAGGCACAATTTTAATACAGTTTTACTAAATCGCTGAGATTCTCCCAAGAGACTCGACTCCTTCAAAATTGTATGGTTAAATTGTCCAGAAATTAGCCAGTGAAATAATGTTGTACTCTCGTATCACTACTTCTTAAGAGATTGTCGGGACCTTCTCTTTTTGGATTTGATGACATTTAATTTGTTTACATGTTACAGTAATATGATCCACATATTTTCATTTATGGACATGTTAATGTGAGGTTCAGAATATTGGTACACACAAAGAATAGCGTGATTCAGTAAATCGATTAGCCTTACCATGAGCTGTAGAACAAATTTTGTATAATAACGATAATGATTAGATATTATTCATATACTTTATATTTACGGCATTTAAGTTGTACGTTGTTTCCATTCTTTTGATATTTTGATACAATTAATACTGCTTTGTTATATCGCTTGTTATTATTAAGGCTGTTAGGTGAGACCCCGGCAATGTGAATTTATAGCAGCTGGACGGCTACTCCAGATTTACGTAGGTGGGAGGTGTTTTAAGTGGTAAAAATAGGTGGAAGGGGTTTAAAGTGGTAACAATAGGTGGGAGAGGTTTAGAGTGGTAAAAATAGGTGGGAGGTGTTTTAAGTGGTAAAAATAGGTGGGAGGGGTTTAAAGTGGTAAAAATTGCCGTAGCAAGTGAACGAGCCTTTCATAGAAATTTTGCGTCCTAGTATTGGAAACAAATTCTTGTTCCAGTTCCAATTTAACAATTTCTGTCAACAATAGAAACCAATCAATTTATCCCGGACCAATTTATTACCATCACAGTTGAGTTTCGGAATCGGGTAATTGTCCCTCTTTACAACACAAAAACACTACAGCATTCAACTAACGAACTTGCTTAGTGCTTATCCATTAATTCCCGGCAAAAATTACGACTTGCTCGGACGCGAAAATATTATTCATTATCTTCAATGGTTTAAGATATTTTGGCACATATGATAGGATTTTTTTATCTGCGTCTTATGTAGCCATTTAGCCCAAAAGTAAGATTAGCTCACCTGGTTTGTGTTAGTAGTTTTAGGAGTAAGTGAGATTATAGCCCTGCCATCCACACATCCTTTTAACGAGAAGTAGTGCTTCACCAGCTCTAAACAGGGGGTATATTCAGTTAGTAGTGCTTCACCAGATCTAAACAGGGGGTATATTCAGTAGATTCATATTTTGTTTGCCACTTATAATTCTTATTAAACACTAAAAATATCTCTGAAGAGGCTAAGTAAATTCAGAAAATTGATATTCATTATTCAATACACATAATTATTATAATTTATAAATAACATAATTTATAAGTAACATCAAACGGTACCATAAAGCACTATTGTAAATACCGAAAATAGCGCTTGAACAAAAAGATTAACCGCTCATTAGCCTTTACTAATTACATTAGCCTTTACTAATTACATTAGCCTTCACTAATTACTATTACTTCTGCAGACTTACCAAATACTCTGATGTGATAGTTGGTAATAGGGTCGAATGAGCCGCTAGCTAGGAGAACCAACTTGGATATATCCGGATCAGTGCTTCCTCCTGCCATATCATCCTATACTTAATTAAAGGAAAGGTTATTTTTTAATTTACATAAAATATTTATAATACATCATATTACATATTTACGTATATATATTACGTGTATATTACGTATATAACTGCATTGAGCACAATTGGTGTTAGCAATAGATCTTACGAGATCTTATATTGTTACCAACGTTTCCAATGTCAACATCCGGACACGGAATTCCTACACCGCACGGAATTCCGACCCTAAATTAATACCACGTTAATAAAAACTTTGTTGGTGGTTGGTAATGTTTGTAATGATGGTTGAATTTTTTTGTAAACTTGTCTTATCATCTACTGTTTAACTCAGTCAGTTTTCATCAATCTTCTGTAATTTACAATACTTTCATTTACAAACAAGTAAAAAGGTATTAATTAAATTTCATCAACTTTAAATCGTACATCAGCAATAAGAAATTCAAAGTCGAACTAGTTTTATTGGCCTAACTATAAAATTCCCCAACCACGATGCAATCTGTAGAATAAGTAATAAGTATGTACAATGTTCGTTTAATTAAAATGCCAAATGTCGAAAAGAATAAACGTTAAGAGTAAATCAAAGCAAATACCGTTAAGAGAAAAATGTATCCGACTATTTAAAGTTATAATGCTTAAAAGTATTAAATTGGTTAAATATGATATCACCTGCGCTAAAATAAATATATAAAATGAAATCAATGGTTTCTATTATAGTATTCATGAATCCGATTGTACACACTACACAAAGTTACATTTTGATTTTCGACGACTTACTTTACCAGTCTACATACTCTTATATTAGTAGAGCCAAAGTTCTATTTTAGTTAATATACAGTATTATATTGAGGATGAGAAGCTTCATTACATTCAGAAGGGGTTGGTGTGTCCGTGTCGAGTACTCCCACATCCAGAAAGTTTTATATTTCCTCCCAGATGCGTTTTTTTCTAAATTCTGTGGCCCACTCGCTTCGCTCGCAAGTTTGGGGGGGGGGGCTGTCGGCGAGCGAAGCGAGTCGACGTGTCCAATCCAGCTGCGCAGTGAGCGAAGCGAGCAAGCTGTGGCAGGGGTCTGGGGGCGCAGCCCCCAGCGGGGTCCAGGGGCGGAGCCCCTTGGCGGGGGCTAGGGGGCGCAGCCCCTGGAAATTTTTTGCGAAATAGGGTGTTTTAGACAGCATTTGGCATTAAAGAAATTTGTAGGACAGCAATAAACTGGGATTGAAAAGAATCAAGTACTCACGTAAATTTGGTAACTTCACAACAGCAATCTGCATTCTCCAATCACAATATTTCACTGTGTTCCAAAACTGACGGGATGTTCCTCTTTGATTTTTATACAATCGAAACATTTTCTTCAAAAATTTCCTCAATTAATTTGTCTTTATTCCAAAAAAATATTTCGAAATTTAGGAGTAACTTCTCAAAAATTTCCTCTTTTTCTCCCGTTTTTCCTCCCAAAAAAAATTTCCTCCCAGGCTGCCTGGCAAGATGGCGTGTTTCTGGATGTGGGCGAGTACTCGAGGCAGGTAGGACCCTGGAGGTGGGTAGGAAGGTGGAGGAGGGTGGGTAGCTTGCGGAGGTGGATAAGAAGGTGGAGGAGGGTGGGTAGCTTGAGGAGGTGGATAAGAAGGTGGAGGAGGGTGGGTAGCTTGCGGAGGTGGATAAGAAGGTGGAGGAGGGTGGGTAGCTTGCGGAGGTGGGTAAGAAGGTGGAGGAGGGTGGGTAGCTTGCGGAGGTGGCTAAGAAGGTGGAGGAGGGTGGGTAGCTTGCGGAGGTGGGTAAGAAGGTGGAGGAGGGTGGGTAGCTTGCGGAGGTGGGTAAGAAGGTGGAGGAGGGTGGGATGCTTGCGGAGGTGGGTAAGAAGGTGGAGGAGGGTGGGTAGCTTATCGAGGTGGGTAAGAAGGTGGAGGAGGGTGGGTAGCTTGTGGAGATGGGTAAGAAGGTGGAGGAGGGTGGGTAGCTTGCGGAGGTGGGTAAAAAGGTGGAGGAGGGTGGGTAGCTTGCGGAGGTGGGTAAGAAGGTGGAGGATGGTGGGTAGCTTGCGGAGGTGGGTAAGAAGGTGGATGAGGGTGGGTAGCTTGCGGAGGGTAGGATGCTGGCGGAAGGTAGGCTGGTTAGATTCTGGTGGTAGTTAAGATGGCGGAGGAGGGTAGGATGCTTGTTGAGGAGGGTAGGATGCTTGTGGAGGAGGGTAGGATGCTTGTGGAGGAGGGTAGGATGTTGGTGGCGGGTAGGATACTTGCGGGTAAGTTGATTGTGGCGGCGGGTAGGATGTTTGAGGGTAAGTTGCTTGACGTGGCGGGTAGGATGCTTGAGGGTAAGTCGCTTGTGGCGGCGGGTAGGATGCTTGAGGGACAGTTGCTTGAGGCGACGGGTAGGATGCTTGAGGGCCAGTTGCTTGAGGCGGCGGGTACGATGCTTGAGGGCCAGTTGCTTGAGGCGGAGGGTAGGATGCTTGAGGGACAGTTGCTTGAGCAACAACAACACCCTGAGCTGTTTGATCCTTCTTCAGAAACATGATCACGAGAGTCACAGCAGCTCCGATGGTAATGAGCAATGTGAGATAAGTGTATGCCCCAGTATATGCCCAAGAACACATGATCTCGAAGCTGCTGCTGCCCGCCATTCCTGAACTAAGGTTGATGACGAATGAGACGCCAAATGTAAACAATGATCGAAGTAACCTGGATTTCTCGGAAGTTTTTAAGAAGGTGAACATTGTAAGGACGACTGACACCAACAATAGCACTATCCAGGAAGCAATTCCGCAAAGACCACTATATCCTCCAGCAGCGAAGATACACTTTCCAATAGTAATGTGAACACACACCCCTAGAAGAATTATTACTGGTCGAGGCAGCTTGAAATCCTCTGGGTATTCTTGTGGCTCTTTTAGGATGTGCAGTGTAACGAGAAGAGAAGCCAAAGCCATAACCGGGATCGTGCAATATGTGTAGTACTTTAGGACATCCCAATAAGAGGTCGCAAACGTCCACTGAATTGTAGTGCAACCATGATAAACGCTACTAAGATTGAGAATGAAGGATCCAATAGATACGCTCAGGAAGTCCTTAACTTTGTTTTCTTTATTTTTCATGATTGTTAAGACTCCCGCTCCTACTGCCAGCCATATAAGCAGGAACCAGTAGATCCCCGCTACATCCGCGGGATATAGATATTCGATATCTGCAAATCTCACTGCAAACAGTATCTTTGCTAAAGCAACTTGAGCGAGAAATCCCGCCAAAATCACACTCGAACTGGGGATTAGTGGCATTTCTGAATCTGAAAAGGTGGTCTAGGTCACAGGTGTGTCAAATAGTATTGCATTGCGTACCCACAATTATGTTGTGCATATTTGTTAGGTATTAATCCTTAGATAAATATGGCACAATTATGAGCCTTATTTTGTGATGGGCTTGTCAAGCAGGTCGTAAAATACACATTATGAAAAATATATTAATTAAGGAGTGTATTTTGAAGATTTATGATAATTATGTAGCATGTTTTGTCGACTACTTCCTCAAAAGTATAAAGACAGGACGTGAAATATCTTCAAAAAGGAAACCACTTCCATAGAAAGATCTATAAAATGCTATAAATATACTAGACATAAAATAAGCAAGTTTTATTCCAACTGAGGAGTAAAATTTGCAGCGCATCTCCCGTCCGTGTGGAAGGAAACTATACAATAGTCACACGCTCTCAAGTTCTGGGAAATCCAACTCCTACTCGAACAAAACGAACAATTTGATAAAATAAAGCAATCCCTCCGCTCTGTCTCGATTAGAAAATACAGGTTTTAATACTTTTGGTCTGATTGTCGAATAATCAGCGAATTCCCCACTTTCAGCTCAAACACAACCCATAACTCACACTACTCCGAGAACACACGTAAACTTGTCTTATCATCTACTGTTTAACTCAGTCAGTTTTCATCAATCTTCTGAAATTTACAATAATTTCATTTACAAACAAGTAAAAAGGTATTAATTAAGGTTCATCAACTTTAAATCGTACATCAGCAATAAGAAATTCAAAGTCGAACTAGTTTTATTGGCCTAACTATCAAATTCCCCAACCACGATGCAATCTGTAGAATAAGTAATAAGTATGTACAATGTTCGTTTAATTAAACTGCCAAATGTCGAAAAGAATAAACGTTCAGAGTAAATCAAAGCAAATACTGTTAAGAGAAAAGTGTATTCAACTATTTAAACTTATAATGCTAAAGTATTAAATTGGTTAAATATGATATCACCTGCGCTAAAATTAATGTATAAAATGAAATCAATGGTTTCTATTATAGTATCCATGAATCCGATTGTACACACTACACAAAGTTACATTTTGATTTTCGACGACTTATTTTACCAGTCCACATACTCTTAGTAGAGTCAAAGTTCGTTCTATTATAGTTAATATACAGTATTATATTGAGGATGAGAAGCTTCATTACATTCAGAAGGGGTTGGTGTGTCCGTGTCGAGTACTCGAGGCAGGTAGGACCCTGGAGGTGGGTAAGAAGGTGGAGGAGAGTGGGTAGCTTGCGGAGGTGGATAAGAAGGTGGAGGAGGGTAAGATGCTTGCGGAGGGTAGGATACTGGCGGAAGGTAGGCGGGTTAGATGCTGGTAGTAGTTAAGATGGTGGAGGAGGGTAGGATGCTTGCGGGTAAGTTGCTTGCGGCGGCGGTTAATTCAACCTTGATATAGTATTTATGCGCTATTGTTGAGCTTCATTTGTTTTAGCTTCAATGGTAATACTCTACCTTTCACAATTTACATAATTCTAATTGTGAAAACTACGCTACTAAACTTACTTAATTTTATGTTATTTCTTAGCAATTCAACAGATCATGGAAATTGAAATGAATATTCCACGAGTAACAGATTGCGGACTCTGGGGCTGGAGACCATCTTTCTTAAAGGTTTGGATGAAAATCAAATTTTAGGTGAAAAAATAATGTTTATTTGGAATTGGCAACCTGTTGTCAATCTATATCTGTTCAGAAAATGACAGAGTTAACACACATTCGTCATTGATTATTTATTATAAGTCAGCGA